CAATGGGTAAACTACACTTTTGGTCCCTCACCTTTATAACACATACTAAAATCATCATTTTTCCCCAAACTTTTGGGCCAACTGAAGCCCAATACCCTTAAGAACTGATATAAGAGATTTAATGGGCTCAAATTATAGATTTAGGGTTAACCCAAACTATTGACCCAAAATTTAGGGTGTTACAACTAATTATTAAAAATATAAAACATTTTTAGTATAAACTATATAAAATATTAAATTATTAAAATAAGAACTATTTTTTAACATCATAAATCCTCTATTAACTTAATATTATTTAAATAAATATAAAATTTAAATTATTTATGATAAAAATAACTTTTACTGTTTATTTAGTTTTAAATTTATATTATAGGATCATAAATAAACATTTTAAATTTAATTTTTAAAATAGTTTAATATTTATTTTTTAAAAACATATATTTAATTATTTTTATTACAAAATAAAGTTAAAATTGTTTAATTTTTAATTAAGTAATTTGGTTTATAATGAAAATTGTTTTGTATGTTTAAATAATTTAATCTTTAATTAAACAATTATATAAATTAAATATAAAATTGATCTTATATAACTAATTTTATAGACTAGCTTAATGGTTTGTACACTAATTTCTCTTGGGGAGAAGTGATAAGTTTGAGTTTGAGTTTTAATTATAATATCTTATTTTGCGGCGATAATGAAATATAAATCAAATATGTTTTGTGGTGTATATGTAATAATTACCTTTCTTAGTCCAATGACCAAGCCTTTGACGGTGTGTGTTCAATTCCCACGCTAAGCACAATTGTGTTAATTTTATTTCATCACCTTATGGATTGAATAAAAATAACATAAAAAAATAATTTCAGTGACCGAAAATGTCTTATAATATATGATTTTAATCAATTTTTTTTGGATTTACAAAAATAACCAACTGATTCGCAATGTGATTTCAAATTCGCAACACGAACTTCAATTTCGCAACATAGTTTCCAAATTCGCAACTCAATTACCGATATAGGTAAACACGATAGAAAAAATCCGCGTTTACCTATATCGGTAATTGAGTTGCGAAATCCGAATTCGAATTGTAAATTTGAAAACTGAGTTACGAATTTGGAGTTCGTGTTGCGAATTTGGAATCGCGTTGCGAATTCGTTGGTTATTTTTGCAAATCTAAAAAAAGTTGGTTAAAATCGTATATTATAAGACATTTTCTGTCACTGAAGTTATTTTCTCAAATAACATTTGATTGTTGATGTAAAGGTTTAAAAAATATTAAAAAATTATCACAGTTCTATCGTTAAGTTTGTAACGGCGAGATACTAAAATGAAACAAAAACTAAATGTTAAGTATGATTTTGTAAAATTTAAAAGTTGATGCACTAAAATGTACTAAAAATGAAAATTTAGATAATTAATGCATAATTTACCCTAAAAATATTATTTTTTTTATAACATGTAACGTACTAAAAATAAAACTTTAAATACTAAATTCATAATTCACCTTTAAAATATTATATTTTTTACGTTTTTACCCAAACAATCAATAATTAATCAATAATTAACTGTTAGGTACCCTTTCTTCAAATATTACCGATCTAGCACTCTTTCTGACACAGTGAAAATAAATCATGTTTCAGGTTACGCGCCTTGCAGATGTAGACAGAATGCGCGGATCATGAAGTGTGCATTCCTGGGGTTCTATCCGAGCTGGCGCCAAGGTGGAAAAGCGCGGATTGTAATCCAACTCGGTATTTTAAGGCCAAAGAAATTAGTAGATGAATGTGTTCCCCTTAAATTGGAAGTGATGTTGTCATACGGATTGTTCGTGGAGCCACCACGGTAGTGATCATAACAAGTTGCTGATGAATATCTCTCCATTGAACTTGATTGGATGGTACAGGATGTGGATTTCCCATTAACGAGTTAAAATCATTACACATTTTTTGAGATGTGTTATCAACTTGATCAGCTTGTTGAGCTAACCCATAGTGGGAGCATAATGATATACCACGAACCGTAAACACTTCAACAAATGTGACATACATTTGTGTAATATCATCTGAATTTTGATTCTGAGCATCAACCATCATAGCAACATCGTCATTGTTGGAGTGTTTGAACTCTATATAAGTTAACAAAAATAGTGCAGCTAGAAATTTGTACTGAAGTAAGGACAATATTCTAGTACTTCCAACATGAATATTCCTTGAAATTTTAGTGATAAACTCCTCAAGAGTGATGTTTCTCTTGAAGGATAAGATGACAAAATAATTTGATGCGAAGATAACACCGGTTTCATCTTCTCGAATTTTTCTATCATAGCAAACAATACTATCATTCTCCTAATTAAATAAATAGTATACGGATTAAAATATAAACTAATACTAAAAAAATTTAAAAAATATTCACAATAATTTAAATAATCCAATTTAATATTGTTACTGTATCAGCAAAATGTATCGAGATATGATCTCACCTTCCATTTTACAACAGCAAAAAAGTAATAAAAAATAATTAATACAATAAAATTTGATCAAATAAATATAATATAATAAAAAATAATTTTACCTTCTTAAAACTGTAACAAAATCTATTAATAGAAGGAATAATGTGAATGTAATTTTGGTGTGGTTTGATATTTGGATTTAGGGGTATTTATAGGGGAGGGGGATGGGTCGTCCAAGATTTAAGACAACTGCAGTAATAATAGAACGAGTAATAATTGAGGAGGAATAAGCTAAGGCGCTCTTTATAATCCGCGCCTCCCTGACGTGTCATAAAATCCTGCGAAGACGTGGATTACAATTCACGTTTTTCCATTATGGTGCCAATTCGGATAGAACCCCATGAAGATGCGCTTCATGATTTGTGCCTTCCGTTGACATCTACAAGGCGCATATCCTTTTTTAATTATCACTCTGTCCGAATGATTGCTAGATCGATAATATTAGAAAAAAGGGTCTAAAAATTAATTATTAATTATTTGGATGATTTTTGTGTAAAACGCCTGTACCGCTGAATAGCTCTCCTTTTTTACAGAAGAAAGATGGGGAGATTGGACATTTGGAACGATTGTCCCAATACCTTGCTTTTTCAACTTTTTGAATTTTGCACTACTCTTAACTATATTTCAACTTCATTCCTTCACTTCAACTACCTTGTGCTTTTAGTTGAAACTAAAGCACAACTCATCCCTCATTCTTGGTAATCTATGTCACTGTATCTCTTCAAATTTTCATTTGTTCCATGAGTAGAAAGGCTTAATACCAAAATAAGTATCTAAACTATACCTCTTTTTCTTAAATAGGTGTATTTAAACTATTTTTTGAATCATTTTGGTGTGTTACAAATGCTACTCATTTAGGTGTTCGGACTGTCAACGATGTTAATTCATCCATTAAGTGACACATGTCACAACCTGATAATTTTAAAAATTTCATTTAAAATTAAAAAAAATAAAGTTATATTTATATTTTAAAAAGAAAACATAAATTTTGAAATAAACCAAAACTTTAAAAACCTTTATTTTAATCCCTAAACTCACGTCGACCGCCGCCTTTTGCCATCGACGAAGCTCTACTCGACCTCCCATCCCACCGGTGACAAACCCCCCATAAAATTGTGATCGATCGACGGTCAATCGACGACGAATCAAAGTTTTATATCACGTAAACCCTAGGATGAAAATCACGATACTAACAACCAATCGACGGAAACTAAGATGACGTATGAGTAGGAGGATGGTAGGAACTATGTTAGTGGTGGTGGTCATGGTCGGAAAAGGTGACAGGGGCGGATTAAAGTTATGATTTGAGATTTTGGGGCGGTTTTATAATATAAGAAAAGTTAGTATTTTCTTATAAATGTCATAATATTTTTAAAAATTTTTTAAAAAAATAAATTTTAAAATCACCAGTTGCGACACGTGTCACTTAACGGGGGAAATTAAAACCGTTGACGACCCATACACCTACATGAGTAACATTTATAATGTTAGGCATCTGGATGAGTCAAAAAATAATTTATGCAACTATTTAAAAAAAACGATATAGTTTAGATACTTATTTTGATATTATGCCTAATAGAAACTACATAATCATTGACGACTCGTTCATTCCGATGGATGACCATGAAAGAAGTTTGAAAGAGTACTGGAGTTTTATATTTCCATATTATTATTTTTGATCAAATATTTCCATATTATTTTAATGTAATAAATTATTAGATTTCTTAAGTAATATTAAAAATTTAAATTTGTATTATGAATAAAAAAATTTAAATTCAGAAACCCGCCCTCATTATCCCTTATAATATTAAATTTAAATTAATTGAAGACCGATAGTTAAAAGTATTAATAATTTAAAATTTAATTTAATTTAATTTACATGTTAGGTTTAATAAGAATTAACTCTATAACGAAGCCATGAATCATGTAATTAGGTGTTGCTATTTATAGTACTAAGCGGTGGGTGAGTGTTTGATGAAGTTTATTGAGTTGATGTATCTTACTTATCAATTAAATTAGATCTTAAACTCTATTCAGTCAGTGGAAAATTTGAATTAAATAAAATAAAAACTTATTAAATTAAAATAACAATTTAATATACCTAAGCAAGTTAAAGTAAGTCCTATAAATTTTTCTACAAGGTGAAAATCCCTTTAAAAGTAAAAAATAACAATATGCATATTTTTTAAGTGAAAATTCATTTAGTATAGCTATTTAATGATTAATTTATTCAAAATAACACTAATATAAAAAAGGATTGAATTATAATTATTTATATGAATTAAATCGTTAACTGAGATTATTGAAACGATTTAGACTTAAATTGGAATTTGATTAGAAAAGAAAGAGGGAGGATTTAGTGAAGCGTGAAAGAGATTAAAAGCAATAGACAAGAAAATCCATGGTGACGCGATAGAAACAGTTTTGTCTTTTTTCAGGACAAAGAGGAAAACATCCTAAAAATTAATTAAAAAGGCTCACATTTCCTTCCTCTACTTCAGATCATCCACAGATGCCCAAATCCTCTTTTCCCTTCAACTACCCTTTTTACCCCTCTAACCACCACCAGCGCCGCCGCCACCGTCGCCGCCGTCGCAGATTTCTATGTTTAACAAAGCCCCTTTTATCTTAGCTTGTCTCTGCTCAGGACTGATTCTTGGCGCCGGCTAAAATTGAACTCGGATAGGATAGGAAATGCTGGTTCCTGGATCTCTAGGGTTTGACATTGTTGTTTTGGTATCTTTGCTCGGTGTCTTTTTGGTAATCCGCCATAAGTTGAGGAATGCGGCGGCCAGGAAAGAGGAACTTACGAGGTTGCTCGAAATGGTCTCGCATGAATCCGCCGTGGTGGAAGCTCAAGCCACCGCTGAGTACGGTTACTATCCCAAGTACCAGTGTGCTGTTTGCTTTGCACCAACAACTACCCGCTGTTCTCGGTGCAAATCTGTTCGTTACTGGTTCGTTCCATTTCCCCCCTTTTATTGTTAGATTTAATGTTGACCTAATTTCCGCAAATAGAAAAGTAATTTTGGGGTGTTGGTAGAGAGTAGGAGCTACCTTGTTTTTGAGAATTTGTTGTTGACAGTAATTGCAGCTGTTTAAAGTGAATTTAATGACGAAGATGAAAACTTATTTTGGCTTTGAAGGGGGGAAAGATGTGGTTAATTTTTTGAGGGAAAGAGATTATAGCGTTGAATTTTGACAGAAACTGATTGGGACTTACCCATTTTAGTTGTGTTTTAATGAGCATTGTAGTTGAGAATCGTACTTGATTTTACTGAAGTTTAGAACTTAGGCATCTCAAGAAGTCCTAATCGGTTTAGGGTTTTATGCTTGTTTACTTATAAAATTGATTCTTACAGTAACTAAAATTCAGTGAAAAGATCAAGCTGAATCATTTACATTTTCCCAAAGGATGGTTTTATGTTTTATTTGATATATGACCCGTTTTTGATATTGTTTATTGGGTTTGTGTTACGGATAAAGTGGGAATATGTATATTGTGTAGATTCGTCTTAGAAATGTGCATTGAATGATGTTATCGGCAGCCACTTCTGGACCATTTATTGAAATGCTGATTAGATTTGGTATTTTAGCATCATTCTTGCCGATAAATAATATCCTTCATTGCCCTTATGTACAAATTTATTTATTTCAACTTTGCATAGTAGAGCTTTACAACATAGTTCCATGATAAAGAGTGCCATACAATTTAAATATGTACACTGTTCTCTTTGAAATAAAATTTTCTTCTTCCGTTGAATAAAGGTCTCAGCCTTGTTTTTTTTTATTGTATTGTTATGTGATAATATTTTGTTTATAACATATAGCTCTTGTTTAGTGTGCCATTCTGTTTTCTTTGTGTGGGTGTCATGTATCATGGTGACACACCCTTCTCTTTTACGAGTGGGAGCATATATCATGGTGGCTTGAAAAGAAGATTACATTGTCTGCCATTTTTCTTCCTTCGGTTACTTGTAAAATAAAATAGATGCATGCCTTTTTCTTGTAAATGTCTTTAGTAATTGCACTGGAAGTCAGGTATGTTTGCTGTACTATTTTCATCATTTAGTATTGACATCTTTCTTTCCCTCATATAGTTCTGGCCACTGTCAAATAATGCACTGGAGACAAGGCCACAGAGATGAATGTCACCCTCCTACTGATTTTGCAGCAAAAAAGCAGTCTGGACTTCAAAATGATTCTGAGATGGAAAGTAAATTTAATATATCTTCTGACTCCTCATCAGTGGTAGAAGATTGTGATGGTGATGGTAATGTTAAGCCTCATGCAGATGCCATAGCAACAGTTAGTGCTTTTGTACCATCCAGTTCCTCGTCATTAGCCAGTTTGAGCCCAGCTGGTGCCAGTAGTGAATCACCTCTTGATGTTTCTTCCAGCAGTACTCTTCTGTCTGGCCATAATGACAAGTTAGGCAGACATCATTGTGATGATATTGCCATTGGTATACCTAAAAGCAAGACTTCTGCTAAGAACATGAAAGAAGCTATCTCACCTTCATCAGAATCTAATAATCTGAGCAAATTAAACAAGAAGAAATCCACTCATGAAGAAGTTGAATTGGGAAGGCAGTTTGCTAAGAATAACAATCTCATGCCTGATGGTGGCCATCCTACAAAAGCTGTCTATAACAAGTCAACCAGAGCTGTTTCTTCTGAATCATTAGTTACTGATGCATCCAAGATTAGTAACTTAAGATCCCTGGGCATTTCAAGGACTAGAACTGTAACTGGTGATAGAGAAGCTGTCTTACAACTTTGTGAAAGTAAACACTTCACAACTTACTCATGTAGTACTTCTGGTCATCTTTCATCTTCTGCTCCTGGATGGCACTCTCTTCAGAGTTCCCACTCTGGCTTGCCTGCAAAAATTAATGCTGCCCCCACCTTGCCACCGACTTCAAGTAATGGCTTGAAAACATCCTTGAGGAAGGTTGTACAGCAGTTCAAAGCCTCCAAACAGTCTAAATCTCATCTTTTTGGTTTTGGTAATGAGGCTGATAGAAAACAAAATTACAAGGTAGTTTTTGAATTACAATGTTATTTTGTTGATGTTCTTATAGTGTTGTCACGTCATATTCCAACATTACCGCAATTTTTTATGATTTGGCAGATAATCTTTCCATATGAACTATTCATGGAACTATACTCATATGACGCAGTGGAACTATGCCCATTTGGCCTTAATAATATTGGGAACAGGTGACCTTTGTTCTTGCACTTATTTCAGTTCGCAAAAACTCATTCGTTGTCTTCAGAATGATTTCAAGTAGTTTGAATTTTTGGAACTTCTTCCTCGTGCTAATATGGTATGCTGGAACTTGTGCATATATCTTCACCTTTAGATTACTAGATGGTTACAATCATACACTTGGTATATCATGGATTTCTTTGTTTTCCGTCAAAATAGTTAACTATGAATTATTGTTTTCTCATCTACTAAGATGTAACAAGGTGTGTTTTTGAGTTACTAATTGAACTTTTCCTTTGACAATTACTGCAGTTGTTATGCTAATGCTGTCCTTCAGTGTTTGGCTTTTACTCGGCCACTTACCTCATACCTTGTCAAAGGACTGCACTCTAAAGCATGCAAGTTTCTGGACATTACTTTTTCATTATCTCACCCTTTATTCATGCCACTCCTTTAATATGATGTTTATTGTTGATGTGTAGGTCGAAAAAAGGAGTGGTGCTTCATCTGTGAGTTTGAATGTTTGATTTTAGAGGCAAAGGAAGGGGAGTCCCCTTTGTCCCCAATCCGGATATTATCCAAAATACAAAAAATTGGAAGTAATCTTGGTCCCGGGAAGGAAGAAGATGCCCATGAATTTTTGAGGTGAATCAGCCATTAAAACTTTTCTTTTTGTATACTACTATGGTATAACCTTCTCAAATGTGAATTAGACTTCACATCAGTCAGACGACAGGTATGCAGTTGATGCAATGCAGTCTGTCTGTCTCAAAGAAGCAAGGGCTGCAGGTCCACTGGCTGAAGAGACAAGTTTAATTGGCCTGACTTTTGGAGGTTATCTTCATTCTAAGGTTTTTCACAATTTTGATTATCCATAATGTCCATGTTTTATTCTTATTCAACAGACACAAAGTAAGTGTGATTTTTTGTATTTTGTTATGGAATTACCATGATTGGGTTGTCAGATAAAGTGCATGAAGTGCCTTGGTAAATCTGAGAAGTATGAGAGGATGATGGATCTAACTGTTGAGATTGATGGAGACATTGGAAGTTTGAAGGAGGCACTTGCACAGTTTACAGCTACAGAAATTTTGGATGGAGAGAACAAATATCATTGCACTAGGTTTGTTGCTTTATACCTGCCATGTCATTGATGTTAAGGTCCCTCTTATTACCATGCCTGCTTGGCTGTTGTGTCTTATCTTTTGTTCTAGCCGTGTAATTTTGAAATCTCAGTTGATCTTAATGAGTATTATTGCTCAATGATGAATGAACTCTGACTTTGGATGTTTTACTCTGATATTATTACAGTGACTGCTCAATTCATACTTTTGTGGCATATTTGTTCTAACTGTAGCATTGTTACTTGGGTTGGCTGTAATTACTGTTGTATGTTAAAAGCAACATCCAGGAGTTATAGAAGTTTGACCTTCTCATGTTAAATTCTCCCTATTCCAATCAGGTGCATATCTTATGTAAAAGCGAGAAAGAAGCTGATGGTATTGGAGGCACCTAATATTCTTACCATTGTTTTAAAGCGGTTCCAGGTAATTCCATGATGGCGAGTTTCTATTGTTTGTGCTTCCATGTGCGTATTTGAATGTAAACTCTAGCTTTACCATCTGTACCTTTGCAGTCTGGAAATTTTGGGAAGTTAAATAAGTCGGTTCAATTTCCTGAGATCCTTGATTTGGCCCCATATATGAGTGGAGAAAGTGATAAGGTTGTCATTTACAATCTCTATGGCGTGGTTGTTCACTTGGATGTAAATAATGCTGCCTTCTCTGGTCATTATGTTTGTTACGTGAAGAGCTTCCGAGGGGAGTGGTTCAGGATTGATGACAGCATGGTAAACTCTTTTCCGATTAATATATATGGAGATCAATCTATCTCTAATCATGATATGCACTACTTACTATACATACACCTGATGACGTGCAATGTGTTTTGTAGGTAATACCAGTTTCATTGGAGAGGGTCTTACTTGAAGGGGCATACATGCTCCTCTATGCGAGGTAAAATTCGACTTTAAAAGCTTGGTTAGATGAAACTTAGGTTTTTATGTTTTATATTTGTTCAGCACAATTAAACTTTAGTTCTTCAAAACTTTAGGCACTCTCCAATGGCCCCGGCTTTGGTAAGAAAATTTCTTGAGTCTCATGGTTCCAAGACTAGCTCTAAATTTTCAAAGTCGGATCCATCTATAGCTCAACGGAAACACAAGCATCCTTACATGCAAAGAATTCCTTCCGCTGATTCCTCGAGCGAGAGTTCTTCCATTTTCAGCAGTTCTGATGCAAGCTCATGCAGCACAAGAAGCACCAAGGACTCTTCCAGGAGCGAAGACTTCTCAGATTATTTATTCGGTGAAACGGGACCTGAATGGTATAGCCGATATGGGATTTCATCGGATACAGCTGCCTCGTCCTCCTATCATGGTTTTGACACAGATTTGGGGACGGAGATGAAAAACCATGATTGGTGGCTGAAGGGGGATGGGAACTCATCAACATTTTTGTACACCGACTCAATTAGACAGCATTGGAATAGCAACGGTAGAGCCTCCGACTTCGAGCAAGGAAGCTGTTCTAACCCATTTGATGTAAGATCATCGGGTGTTGCATATAGGAGAGCAAGCATAGACGGAGGACTCAAACGTTTTATTGAGATTTGAGTTGAGGTATAATAAGATGTAACTTTTAATTCTTATCATTTATGATTCACAAAACCAGTAATCATCATTCTTTGGCATTGCCCCATAAATTTACCTTCTAAACTCTGAAGCTTGCCGTGTTGCATTGAACTATCGAATAAAGATGAAGTAAACATCAGTATGGAGCCACCCGGTGCCCAGTTGCCTGAACGTTGAACGTTAAAATAATAACAATTGGCGTATTAAATTTCTTGAGCATTTTTTTTGAATGAACAAGAGAGTAACAAAAGAACGCTAATTCAGTATTCCATCTTCAGCGTGTAACAACGTCAAAACTTTCATTGGTGAAAAATTGTAAAATTGAAGACCATAAGGTGAAGTCCATGCAAGTTTTGCCATGCTATTTGCAGCCATGATTCCTTCACGAGCCATATGCACAAATTACAGCATTCGATCTCGTCGAATAAGATCTACAATGTGTGGAACGAAAGGGGAAGCCAACTCCATGTTCGTTCCTTGCTTTAGTAACGTCCAAGCATCCTTGCCATCCATTTCGAGAACAATAAATCTCTTATTCAAATGCCATGCCAAAGAAAGACTTTCTAGCACACCCCAGAGCTGTGCATCAAGTACCAAACACACCCCTATGACTTTTGTGAAGCCACCAATCCACATGCCCGCTGCATCACGAATAACCTTACAACAGGCTGTAAGACATGAAGTAGTTCTATGTGCACTATCCCGACCCGAGAGCTTCCAATGGATCTCACGACATATTCTCCCAAGTCCATTTTTTTTACCGAAAGAGCTAATTTCCGAGCTTTGCCAGCCTCCATTAGTAATCAACGACTATGTTGAATAATGCTTTTTGTATCCGAAGTTTCAGGTGCAAAAATCCTTTGGTTCCTTCTAATCCAAATGCTCCTTAGAATAGAGTATAGCAACAACAACAAAACCCTATTCCCATATGCAATGGGGTAAGGGGGAGGTAGGGTAGTAGGCTGCCCCCAATGCCAGGTTGAGAGCAGCTTCCGTGGGAGACCTCCGACAGTTAGAAAATTAAAAATAAAGATTTAGTTGTCACACCCCAAAATAGGGGGCTAGATTTAAAAAAATAAATAAATCCCAAGCTTGAATTTCAGTTAAGTCTGGGACCAAAGCAAAATTTATGTTAGTTCCAGACCCGTATCTAGAAATCTTAAAAGCTCAATGACCTATTGCATGATTTTTCCATTTTCTAAAATTAGGTCCCACAAAATCTATACCAAACCCTTTTTGGAAACCCCACTCTCTTTTTCATTTTTCATTTTTCTCTCTTTCCTCTTTTATCTTTCTTCTCCAAGCCACGTTCAAGCTCCGTTTTGTCACGTCCGTCACTCTGTTTTCAATATCGCCCCTGCCATTGTGTTCATATCGTCGTCCTGAGTCTGTCGGTACTAGTTTCTTTGCTTACGTCCTCGACGTGTCAGGGGGTGAGAGTGTTTAAATTCCGACAAAGCGTAATCGACCTCTCTGTTATTCAGTGTTTTGAACCAAACTTGATAAGTGACCTCGTTAGCTTTAAAATATGTTTAATTAATTTTACAAATTTTCTCGGCATTCGTAAGCCCCACACGAGCCCCCACGTGCCGTTTTCGCGCGTGGGGCTTATTCTTTCTCTGAAAGTCTTCTAGAAGTGGGTCAACCCGACCCGTTGATCCACCCGATCTAAACCCGTGTTTGACCCGTATGCCCGAACCCAATTCCCAAACCCGTGTTTGACCTGTCTGCCCGAACCCAATTCCTGAACCGGCCCGAGCTGAGTCGTGTCGTGTCGCGTTGTACCTAGCTGCCAGGGTTAATCACACCGTATTTGACCACCGTCATTTGATCGTGTTGTTTGACCGCTGTCGTTGACTTTGACTGGTGTTGACTTTAAAAAAAAAACCCCTCCATTTTGACTTTGTAAGATGTCTTGAGTTCGATTTCGTGGTCCGTTTCATCAAATTTTGATCCAAAAGCCCCAAATCGAGCCCATTAATAAAAAGAATGCTTAGTATTTTTAACATTTTTGCGTTTTATTTAGAATTTGATCTAGGATTATATTATCGTGAAGGTACTCGTGTTTCCCTAACAGAGGGCCGACTAGATCAGGTGCTTCCCGTCCGACTGACTAGCCTGACGCACATTCTTCGAGGGCTACCTGTAGGTTTTTCTAAATTACCTATTTAGGGGTTGTTATTTATTTCTATACTTATGACCTAGTTTTTTGATTCATAGGATGTAGCGTTATCGCTGATTGTAATAGGAAGATCCGTTAGTCAACTAATGTACCAGACTTCTCAAACTGGTTCAGGTGTGTTCCTATTGGTTTTATAGTACCGTTTTAAAATATCTGTCTGAATTGTTTTAAAATTCTAATGATATTTAATATTCAGACTGCATGTGATAACTCCGTAAAAGGCCACATTTTGGGACCTTTTAACTTAAGTTATTGAATGTCTAAAGGCTCATTTAGGACCATATAGATGCATTTAGAAGCATTTAGTTGCATGTGCTGGATTTCGGTTTGCCGTGGCATTTTACTTTTACAGCGGTGCTGCTTTATGGGAAAGGTATTTGTCTGACGATGTGTAGGTATTGAGAGCAAGGTAAAGAGGAAAGAAAATGCCGTGACATAAGGAGATTGCTGAGCAAAATGAATTTGCCAAGTTCAACCGGCATTTCGAAAGTGCTTATATTGCGAGAAGATATTTTTGAAGCCAGCTGTATCCGACTTTCCGTGATCTCTGCCCAAGAAATCTACCTCGAAGATCCGCCTGGAGGGTTCGGCGCTGCTACAGCTGATCCTGCTGACCACGCCGCCTGTTCTGTAGATCATGTCTGTCCTTGGGCGTCTGCAGTGGGATTATGCTGGGTACTCAACCAGCTACCTAGGCTGTAACATAGCCTGTCCTGCCCGACTCCCAAGCAACTTAACCATGGTTTTGGGGTTTTCTAGTAAAGTTAACACCAAATCCTATGATTAGTTTTCCCCTATAAATAGATGATAAAGCCACATTGTTGAATACTTTGGTTCCACCCAGATTTGAGCTTAAAAGTTAGAGAGAGAAGGTCTCATCTTTCTCCGTGACAAGCCTGCGGGAGTGGCGTTCTAGGCATCCGAGAGGAGCTAGTTTGTTGGGGGTAGTTCGTGGTGGCCGAGGGAAGCTCCGACAGTGTACGTCGAAGGATTTTTCTCCTTCCCTTAGTTCTTTGCTTTCATATTTTGTTATTTGGGTTGTAAGGAACGGATAATCTTGCTTTGTGCTTGCTTATTCCGAACCCCACCATGAACTAATCCTATTTGGTGGGAGTTCATTTTGGATGTTTAAGTTTTATTTCAATGAATAGTTGATTTTTCTATGCTATAATCTGTTTTGATTATGGAGTTTAATGCCTTAAGGTTGTAGGAGCTACGAGAGTAGCCATTCCTTAGGAGATTCTTAGGGTTCGAGAGAATACCTAGGTAACATATCCTTAGTGCTCGAGAGAAACTAGGGAGGAACTACATAAACAAGGGGTTCTAGGTAGTAACTAGGCCTAATCCACCTTAGAGATAAGGCTAGGATTTCATTCGACTAAAAGGAGTTACGCATGAAAGATAGGTTAGATGTTAATGCTGCCGCAAAAAAGGTATTGCCGAGACATATCCTGTTATCTGGACCAATAGGATCACTGCAGGGGTTTACGCGAATTGGTTTTGTCAGGGCATCTTTAATCTGTCGAGTCCCTTACTAGAGATAGCATAGGGAACATTAGTAGACTCTGTCGGGCAGACTAGGTATAGAAGAAAGACCATTCGGAGAAGTAGACTTAGATTTTCCTTAGTGACTCCAATCACTCACTTCCATAGTTGCTTGTCGTGTGAGAAAGCCAAAGTCCTATTAATCAAATCATATATTTACATTTTATTTTGCCTTGACATTTTCATTTGTTTGCATTAAACATAATCTATTTTGCCACGACATATCCATTTGCTACCACCGTACCACCATTCCATTTCCACAACATCCATCTCAATTTGCCACAACATTATCATTTGTACATATCATCACTAACTTTACTTAGGTGACAAAGTAAATCGCTTTGATAGAACTTATTCGACTTCCTCCAATCCCTGTGGAGATGATACTCACTTATCACTGTATTACTTGTTCGATTGTGTATACTTGCACACATATCCACACTCATTTTGTAGTACTCACAAGAGCGGACAACATGACATATGTTTACTACATGCTTTGACTTTTGATATCTGGTTTTTGTATATTTCTGACATGATCTCTGGTTACAGTATTTTGGTATATGATTATGGATTTTGACATGATTTAATGTTTTGTAAACTAAACTATTGTTTTTCACTATCTTTGGGTGGGTATGATTGGAGGAAGTGTTTCAGGCATAGTCTATGACTACTAAGACCTTACCGTAGACACCTCTACTTTGTGCACAGACTAAGACCTTACCGTAGGTCCTTATGCTATCAATATAAGGTCCTTATGGGCGTACATGTGAGTGTATGGTTTAGGTGAACCTACATATTTCGGTGTTCGGATGGGGGTAGTGAATCATGATTTATAAAGCATGGTTCATAAATAAAATTTTGCCAAAATATTTATCTGAATATTTGTATACACTGTTAGGAACACACTAAGCTTTTTAGCTCACTCTTTTAAATTTTAATTTTCATATACTATATGACAGTAGGTTAGCAGACTGGGTATTTGGAGGATCGACAGTTCTCCCTTTTGATTTCTTTATATTTCTACATGCCTCTTTTGATATATTTTGGTGACACGTGTTTTACTACTGTCTTGGTATATTGTATTACCAGTATTTTGTTTTTTTATGATGGTAACTTATTGTGTTTATCGTATGAATATTTTTTATGGTTACTCCGCGCTATATTGAATCATGGATTTTATTTGTTGAAGTAAATTTTAAATTTGAAAAGAAAATATGTATTTAATTTATGATCGCCTAGTTTTGGTCGTAACGACAAGGTCGGGTCTAAGAGTTACATTTAGTGGTATCAA